TGTCGAGATAAACCTGACCTGTATAAAACCCAACCACTGCTCGTGTGCACCATGTACATTGTTACTTTGGGTTGTAAATCAGACTTGACCAGATTTTAGCATTTGATACAACGTACTGGAATCAATACTGCACATCTTTCTCATATTACTTGATGGAAGTTATAACTATGACATGCACAATAGGCAGACTAACGGTTGTACTACATTAGAAGGACGAGTGTGCGAGCCACGTGTACTAAAAATATCAGGTTTGTTCTTCATACAAGTAAGATAGCGGCACACCGAGCAAACAATGTCTCAGTTAGATTCATTGCAAATCGAACTATTCCAGTTAGCGTCGTTGGACCAGGGAAGAGTCGTGAAACAACTTGTCCAATTTATTGATACAAATAGTGCATGCATTTCCTAGTAATTCCCAATTTTAGAAAAATTTAAAAAACAAAACATATCTTTAGTTGAACACGAGTTGTGACTGTGTTTTCGGTTTGAAATCGCAAAGAACGGCATCGGCTCATTCCGTTCTGGTATCGCATCGGGATTTTCACATCTCGCTCCTATACGGTTATCTACAACGGGAACAGGACAAACTTTCAAATAGACTGAGAATCATCACCCGTAAGTGCTATTTTGTATCCAGAAGCAGAGGTGATGCATAAACGCGGTACATAGATCCTGGTGTCTGTGAAATGGCACGGACGAGACACAAACAATTTCATTCATGGAGCAATGCGTTCATATTGCTGGCTGCCTGTCGATAGTGTGGCTCAGGGGTATGAGTTTCGGCGTTCGTACTCGAAGGTCCTCATTCGATTTCCAGAAAAGACCTAAAGGGGTACCGGTTGCTAATGAGTTCCATCCAGCAGAAACAGAAGTCCAGTGCTCTTTGTCGGTCAATATTCATGAAATCCCGTCACACATACTGCCCTTTTTCTCATCAAGCTTTAGAAAAACCCCACATTCTTATATCCTCGACCCGTAGTCCTTCAGCCTAGACACACCAACTTTAGTCACACAGCTACAGACGAGTCAGGTCAATATATACAAATATATCATCTGTTTGTTATCGCAGCAACAGTTGACATAATTATCAGGGTAGAGGCTCCAGAATTAAAGCTAGATGGGAAATGGTGTACTAAAGGGGTTATCTTTTGTTAACGAGTTTTGATTATCTTTAAACTGGTAATCTAGCCACTCCTTATGCACTTTAAGTGGATATACGGAAAGGCAGGCACGCAATTTTTGTGGTATCTTTCTCTGACCTATTTCAGGCCTCGTGAATGCAAAACAATATGCCATTTGTGGTACATTTGAGACTTTTGCTCTCAGGACTACCGCATGTTATACGGCAACACCGAAGCTGTACGAGATATGCCAAATGATTTGACGATACGGACACATCTTTTAAACCTTCTCTAATCAAACAAAGTATTCGTATTTGTATGACTTGTGTAAGCTTATATGTTTACATTTCAGTTGAAAATGTACATGGTTCATCACGTGGAATGAAATATACAGTTTCACATGACAGGCAAGGTCAGGAATGTCCCTGAAATTTGTTTTATGTACAAAACTTCTGACGTAGTTCACTTGCTACCTGTTCCTTTTTAGTTAGGAGTCGGGCCAGGTAGGGTACTACTACCTAGTAGGGTAAGCACTACTAGGGTATAGGGGAATTTTTATAAATGGTAATGCCAGAGGGTAGATGCCAAATAGACGAGCGTGTGGTCGGATGGGAACGACGAGATGATAGATCGGGATGCAATGGATGAAGAGGGTCGTCTAGAATCTTAATAGCAAATTTAACACAAAAGTTAATGTAACCATTATTGAGTTCTGTGATCAATGAATCGATCTGAATTAATGATGTATGACTGATCACTAAACCACTAAAAAGTGTTTTGAAGTCTTGGTTTAAAAGGTTAGGAAACACTACATGAAAGCGATAGAGAAGAATGGGCAAAACGCATTGGTGAACGAAAGAGGAGAGAACTGATTGTGGGGTTCGAAATTACCTGAGTTTGCTTAACTGAAAAGATAAGCACCTCAGTTTTTCCGTATAATTGTAAATGTGTGCAGACCATTGAAGATTGTTGTCGATGTTGACAACCAGGAACTTGAACGAGGTCGTTCTGCATCCAGGTTTAAAGTTAAGGGTAGCAGATTTCCCTTGAAACGGGTAGCGAAAAAAATGAAGATACACTCCACGCACTTAGATATGTTAAGAATGAGACCAGATTGATTGAAAAGTTGTTGTATGTAGAATAGATTTTCAGTGAAAGAATCAAATTCAGAATGGGATGAAATTTTCTGGCATAAAACGAAGTCATCAGCACATGTTTGGATGTGCGCATGGCGTGGTGCGGCGTACCATCGCCGCATCTTTCCTTTTCTCAGCCAAACTTTGCAGCATCGACATTCCTAGGAAGTAAATTGTTTCAATATTTTTTAACCTCAGAATCTTCTGATCCTTTTTGATCTCACCCGTCTGTGTGACTAAAGTTTGTGCGTTTAGGCTAGATGATTACGGAAAGAGGCTGAAGTACTTCGGGTTTTAGCGAAACGAATGTTGGTCAAGGCTCAAGGGCTACGAGTTTCGGCTAAAGCTGGAGGGCCAAAGGTATATTTATTTCGTTAAATTGTTCATGGTGAGAAACAGGCACCTTTCTTGTCAGTTAATAACAAACCCAATTCAAAATATATAGCAATCAATCGGTGGAACTCAGCCCTCCCCTCCATTTGTAAAAAAAAACTTTATGGTACCTCATATCTACATTAATAACGTGTCAAGCAGTCTGCTCCTTTTCTTGTTTATGACTCAATTTATTGTGATACGCAAATAATTCTTTTCTGAGTACCCAGTGAGATACAGTGAAATGATCCCGCATTTACATCACACAATTTTACAACTCTTCACCTTTTTTTATTTGGACTGACCATCCTTCAAATTTCCCATTCACGCACAATCTTTGGTTCTTTTATTTAACCATACAGTAGGAAGCACTAAATTTTTATTATTATTACAGCTCTTATCGATAATGCATATCGTGCGATGGGTCTGAAGTTCAAAGCTCAAACGAAGCGATAGATTTGCACTACTGATGAACTCCAGTTGGAATGAAATTCTAGTCTAGCGCTCCCGAGTGTTCAGTTAACTGGAAGAACCGAGGATTACGCGCAATACGCAGTGTCTGGTTAGCATTCCAATTAAGTGGAACATGTATGATTCATAAATATCACCGATAATGGATCATTCCTGGCAGCCAAATGGCACCTGATGAAGATGAAACTATACTATCAAGCAAGATTCACGGATTTTGGGAATCGCACAACTAGACTTGGTTCATAATCAAATATTTTGGTTTCTGAACTATTAATTATCAGTATAAGAAAGAAAAATGGCCATCAAATAAAGTATAGTAACTTTCAATTCGAAGACACTTAAAAGCACGTTAATCCAATTGTTCTTAAGTGGTATTCTAACTATTATTAATTTATTACCTTGTTTCTGTTCATACAGCTGAGATCCTTTAATCGCTTAACAAACTGAAATTGAAATATTTATTATGGGTAAATCACAAAGCTGATGCTTATTTAATCTCATAAGGTCTGTTCGGTTGGTAGTACAAATGAATAGCAAATTCTGACATTCACTGACGGGTATCGAAAAGTTAGG